ATTCAACATAGTATTAGAAGTTCTGGCCAGGAAAATCAGGGAAGAGAAAGAAACAAAGTGTATTCAAACGGGAACAAAGGAAGTCAAATTATCTCAGTTTGCAGATTACATGATTGTATATTTAGAAAACCCCATCATCTCAGCCCCAAAACTACTTAGGCCGATAAGCAACTTCAACAATGTCTCAGAGTGCAAAATCAATGGGCAAAAATCACAAGCATTCCTATACACCAGTAATAGAGAGGCAAATCATGAGTGAACTCTCATTCACAATTGCTACAAAGAGAATAAAATACCCAGGAATACAACTTACAAGGGATGTGAAGGACCTCTTCAAGGAGAACTACAATATGCTAGTCAAGGAAATAAGAGAGAACACAAATGAAAAAACAGTCCATGCTCATAGATAGAATCAATATTGTGAAAATGTTCATACTGCCCGAAGTAATTTATAGATTCAGTGCTATCCCCATCAAGCTACCATTGACTTTCTTCACAGAATTTAAAAAAAAAAAAATCTACTTTAAATTTTATATGGAACCAGAAAAGAGCCTGTATAGCCTGTCTTGGCCTGATAGCCAAGACAATCCTAATCAAAAAGAACAAAGCTGGAGGCATCAGGCTACCTGATTTCAAACTATATTATAAGGCTACACTAACCAAAAGGGAATGGCACTGGTACCAAAACAGATATAGAGAGTAGTAGAACAGAAGAGAGGCCTCAGAAATAATGCCACATATCTACAACCATCTGATCTTTGACAAAACTGAAAAAAAAAAAAAAAAAAAAAAAAAAAAACAAGCAACAGGGGAAGGATTCTGTATTTAATAAATGGTGTTAGGAAAACTGGCTAGCCATATGCAGAAAACCGTAACTGGACCCCTTTCTTACACCTTATACAAAAATTAGCCCAAAATGGATTGTGATTCATACGTAAAATGTAAAACCATAAAAACCATAGAAGAAAACTTAGGCAATACCATTTAGGACATAGGCATGGGCAAACTTCATGACTAAAACACCAAAGCAATTGCAACAAAAGCCAAAATTGATAAATGGGATCTAATTAAGCCAAAAAGCTTAATTCTGCACAGCAAAAGAAACTATCATCAGAGCAAACAGGCAACCTACAGAATGGGAGAAAATTTTTGCAATCTATCTATCTGACAAAGGGTTAACATCCAGAGCCTACAAGGAACTTAAACAAATTTACAAGAAAAAAACAACCTTATAAAAAAATGGGCAAAGAATATGAAAAGACATTTTTCCAAAGAAGACATTTATGCAGACAACAAACATATGAAGAAAAGCTCATCGTCACTGGTCATTAGAGAAATGCAAATCAAAACCATAATGAGATGCCATCTCACACCAGTTAGAATGGCAATCATTAAAAAGTCAGGAAATAACAGATGCAGGAGAGGATGTGGAGAAATAGGAATGCTTTTACTCTGTTGGTGGGAGTGTAAATAGTTCAACCATTGTGGAAGACAGCATGGCAATTCCTCAAGGATCCAGAACTAGAAATACCATTTGACCCAGCAATCCCATTACTGGGTATATACCCAAAGGAGCATAAATCATTCCACTGTAAAGACACGTGCACACATATGTTTATTGCAGCACTATTCACCATAGCAAAGACTTGGAACCAACCCAAATGCCCATCAATGTTAGACTGGATAAAGAAATTATGGCACGTGTAAAACATGGAATACTATACAGCCATAAAAAAGAATGAGTTCATGTCCTTTGCATGAATGAAGGACATTCTCAGCAAACTAACACAGGAATAGAAAACCGCACATTCTCACTCATAAGTGGGAGTTCAACAATGGGAACACATAGGCACAGCTTGGGGAACATCACCAATCGGGACCTGTTGGGGGATGGGGCAAGGGGAGGAATAGCATTAGGAGAAATACCTAATGTAGATGATGGGTTGATGGATGCAGCAAACCACCATGGCACATGTATACCTATGTAACAAACTAGCACATACTGCACATGTATCCCAAAACTTAAAGTATAATTTTAAAAAAAAGTCTGGCCCAAGACACCAGGAACATTCTGCAATAGTAACAGCAAAGATGCCAAAGAGGTTTTTCTCTGGCTTTCCAGTCAGATTGACTGAAAGTAGCTACCTGACTTCCTGTATAGTAAAAAGATGTGGCGGTTTTACAGTAGCTTCCATAGGCACACAAGAAGAAAATAGCAAACTATCTGCTCTTCTTGTGACAATGGTTAGAATTTGGTTTATTCCAGATTGCCTCTATAATTATCTGTATATATGAAGTTAAAGGGAGTTGGTGGGCTCAAGTAGCCAGACCACCAGGCACCCAGATTTTTATATAGGCTGGGTCTTTAGGTACTCATTTGACTTTAGGTAAGTAACGTCACTTCCTCTGTCTAAGCCTTTTTTCTAAACAGGGATGATAACACTTGCCCTTTCTTCCTCCCATGGGTTCCATGAGGAACCAGTGAGGTCGCTTATGTGAAAAAGGAAACACTAAAAAAGTGTAAGTCAAATTCTAAAAGTGCAATTTTTTTAAATTTCCAATGCGAAGTATACATACTCTGCAAAATTTTAAATTTGAATTTCCCAGATTTCAGAAGGGGCTATTTAGTTCTGCAGGACTGAATGAGGCAATGATAATGTACAATAAATTTCCCAGTGATTGTTCATTGTTGGAATTAAATGTGAACTTTTTCACAATTCTTTTACTCAGTATACTTTACAGATCTGAACTTCCTAAACATTTATGATAATGGGGTAATTATCCTACTTGAAAGAAAATAAGGGTCTAATTGTCAACACTGCATATTTCACATAGGGTAGCAAATTCAACCACTTCAAAAACAATCCAGTTGACTTCTGATTAGATATTTCACTAGAGATGAGGTTTATGATGTACTTTGTACTCACTTGACCTCAGTTCTCCACACCCTTAATCTAGTAAAGAGGCTAAAGATTCATTAAGTCAGACATACTCTTCATTCTTCCCTTATGGTACTTGAACACCCACTCAGGGTACATGGAATATCTCTTCTTTATTTATTATTTCCATGCACACAGTATGAATCAGGTGGTAACAACAAACCTAGCAAAATTGCTTCAGCTGTGTGCAGCACTTATCTAGAGAGTAATATCTGTATGTACCTTATCTAGAGCACTTTCACTGCCATCCTTCCATCTGATTCTCGTAATTACTCTATGAGACAGACACCACAGATGTTATGATCTCCTTTTATACAGATAATAAAACAATGGCTCAAAGAAGTTAAACAATTTGCCCAAAATTATATAACCAATTTATGGCAAATCAAGACCAGGGTCAGGGTGTCTGATTCCAAATGGCATGATCTGCCCACCACACTGCAGAGATTAAGACTCTCATTATAGACTAAGTGGTGGACATCTCCTCTGATACCTGATCTTCTCATCAGAATAATGGGAATGGGAATTCATCCATTGCTCTCATTCTTGAACTTCTCCTGCTAAAAGTTTACCTTCAAGGAATGAGAAAAAGCACGTTTCTGGTTTTCATAATAATAGACTCATCACCAATACATGCCTCTTAGAGCCATATCCATAACTTGTTTGTAGAATTTAGCCATAGTGAAGCAAGAGCCTTATAAGCAATAGCATTAAAGGAAATATGCAAATAACATTCACAATACGAGAATGCCAAACATACCCTCATTCACAGATGTGTCCAACAGTGTGTTCCTGGTGTGTGATAATCAGGTAAAAGACTTACTGACTCTATAAAAGTAAACCACCAAGGAAATCAATTATTTTTTAAAAAACTGACCTGACTTGCCGGGTGTGGTGGTTCACACCTGTAATCCTGGCACTTTGGGAGGCTGAGGCAGCTGGATCATGAGGTCAGGAGATCAAGACCATCCTGGCCAACATGGTGAAACCCCGTCTCTACTAAAATACAAAAAAATAGCCGGGCGTGGTGGCACGCACCTGTAGTCCCAGCTACTTGCGAGGCTGAGGCAGGAGAATCACTCGAACCCTAGAGGCAGAAGTTGCAGTGAGCTGAGATTGCACCATTGGACTCCAGCCTAGCTGACAGAGTGAGACTCTGTCTCAAAAAAAAAAAAAAGAAACTGACTTGACCTATGACTTCTTACAGTTAGTTATATACCCAGGCTACTCAGGCACTGTTTGCTCATCCAATTATGTTTCTCAAGTGAAGATTTTTGGGGAAGAAAAACAAATCAGACTCCATTTAACTTCCATGAGTCAAATAAGGAGAAGTCTATCTCAGAGGTATAAAAGCTGGAATAACATCACACATTTATTATCTGAAATGTCCATTGATATAGAAGCAGGTTTGATGTCAACAGCATGACCACCCATCCTCACTTGCCCAGGACAGACCCAGTTTTTACCTGTCAACCCAATGTAATTATTAATAATGTCCATATCCTTCTCTGAAATGTTCCACTATGAGTAATTAAGTATATATTTAGCCTACAAATTAATATTCTCCCTGCTGTACCTTAATCCTAAAACCTATCATATTAACCAAAAAAAAAGATACCACTGAGTGATTATGTTTATGTTCTGATCATATTTTGTGTTTTTGAAATACCCTCTCATGTGTGAAAGGTAGATGCTGTGATATACAATGAAATAGGGCTCAGGCTAAGCTTTAGCCCTCACTGTGCCATAAATTGTATGTAATTAAACTATTGATTTACTGCTCTGTGATTATTTTTCTTATCTATAAAATTAGGAGCTTAGGCCAGTTGTTTGTAAAACCCCCTTCATGATTCTAAAATGTATGAATCAATGTTAGTTGAACACTGGTACTCTCTGTCAGTAGCTAAATAAAAGGTGTGGATATTTTTAAACAAAAAGGTACTTGATGTTCATGTGTTAAGTGGTTAGACTTGAGCAATGTGGAAAAGCAGAGGTTTTGTACTACCTGAATCGCACGACAGAAATTCAGATTTACATAATCTTCTTCTTTTTCTTCTGCAGTTTCTGTTTCTATTCTTGTTCTTCTCTCTTGCCTTTATTCTATGGCCTTGATGTCAAGGTGCCTCTTAAAGGTAAGATTCCATTTAATTCTCAAAATGTGGTTCTAAGAGGTATTTGATTAAAAAAAAAAAAAGAATGCTACTTATACTTACTATGCCTTTCTTTAGTTTTCTTTTCTTTTCTTTTCTTTTTTTTTTCTTTTTTTTTTTTTTTTTTGACAGAGTCTTGCTCTGTCATCTATGCTGGAATGCAGTGGCAAAATCAGACCATATTTTACTACAGCCTCAATCTCCCACACTTAAGTGATTCTCCAGCCTCACCCTCTTGAGTAGCTGGGACTACAGACATGTGCCACCATACGCAGCTAATCTTTTAATTTTTTTTTATTTTATTTTTGTTTTAGAGACAAGGCCCCCCTTTGTTGCCCAGGCTGGTCTTGAACTTCAGAGCTCAAGCAATTCTCCTGCCTCAGCCTCCCAAAGTGTAGAGATTACAGGCATGAGCCATCATGCCTGGTCTATATTTTTTTTAAACTATGCTATATTTTTTAAAAACAAACACACTTGCTTTGGTTAGCATAAATGCCATAAATTGAGACACAGATCCAGTTTATTTGAGTGATTATTAGAAAAATGAAGAAACTGAATATCCTGGGAATCAAGAATTTGTTCCAGTTAACGATATCACTTTGGGAATTCACAATGTCTGTGGATCTTAGTATTCTCATCATAATCTCCCATTATACAGAAAGTTGTGTCTATATCTGCAAAGTGAAGAAATAATGACTTTATCTATAGTATTGCTTTCAGCTTGAAAATTCTGATTCCGCTAATCTAACAAGCTAATAATGACGGCTTTGTTTTCACCCCTTTTCCCCAGTAGAGACTAGGGAGTTCATTAAAACCCAAGAAAGAAGGCTAAGTAAAATTGGATCTTGTTTTCAAATAAGTTACTTTTCAATTTGTCAATATAGAAAACAAAAAGGGGGCCTTATTATCATTATTGCCAAGTCCATGTCTCATGAGTACATGCATAAATGATCTTAGTGAGTCCCAGTCTTAAAAATACAGATTTCTAAGCCCCATTTCAGACTTGCTGAATCAGATCACTGGAGATAGAGGTGACATAGAGAGAGGGTGGGAGAGGTGACAGCAAGGATTGGTCTGTATTTAACAAGCGCACTATGTGATTCTGATGGCCAGCCAGGTAGGGAAACTGCAAATCTCAACACCATTGTTAAAAAAGAAGGGCCAGCGGCTATTCTAAATCCATTTATCATGGTTCATGTCAACTCTGATTATCCTATTGAATTATATTAGGCTGAGATCTTTCCTGGACCTCAGGTGATTTAACATTTTCTATAGCAAGTTGGAAAACAGAAGAGAGATCATACTCTCTCCATAAGTATGAGATCCATTACCTGGGTATGGAACAGATAAGTAAAAGTGCTTCAGCATAATCTGATATAAGCAAATAGTTAAGCAGGTATGCTCAGAAAATGTATGAACTCATAACTCACTCTCTGCTGTATTCTTTCTTGCAAAAGATTTTCTTTTCAGACTGACCAGTATCATTTGTCTGTCAAGAAAGGTGATGGCACTGTAGCACAGAAACAAGAGGATTGAGTCTCTTAAATTTAATGAGAATCTCCAAATTGAAATGGAATGAGAGTCTCTAGCAAAGGATCAAAATGGCCAGAGTATCAGAAGATAAACAGCCTTCCCCGACCAAAATAAATAAATAAATAAATAAATTTTTAAAATAGGGGAAATAAATTTCAGTAAGAGACAAGTAATACATGGTGGTTTAGAGAAGAAATATCAAACCTCATAAGTACTAGGTAGAAAATTGGTAGGCTTCAGCATTAACATCAATGCTGGCTAAAGCTGATTATAAGCTGTTCTAAGTAATAGATACATTTAGTCCTCACAGAGTCTCCTATGGGATAGGTATTGATTTTATTCCTAAATTACAGTTGGAGAAACTATAGCATGTGACTTTCCCAAGAATATAGGGCTACAAATTTGTACCCAGGCAGCCTCAGTCCAGGATCCACTTTTAACCACCAAACTGCCTCACAAATAAAAGAGGGCCTTTCTGCGTGTTTGAAGCAACATTGCTGTTCATCAGGGGCATCATCTTCTATTTGTGTAGCGCTACTTAGCTATTGGCTTTTGAAATTACAGTGTGCACATCTCTGTACCTTTTCCCATTTTGTGTAACTCCTTGAGGGATGTACAAGAGTTGATGTTTTTCCTCCAGAGTAGCACATAAATAACACTTAGTAATTATCTGTTAAATGGATGACTATAATGAAATTAATATTCTAGCAGATTTATGTGACAGTGAATCTGGGCAATATAATATAATATAATGCATATGCAGTAAAATGGCTGAGAGGTTAGAGTGCACAGCCTACTAGTCAGATACACTTTTAAGCTGAGTCCTGCCATTTACTAGTTGTGTAATCCACCCAAGATTAGGTTTCCTATTCCACAAAGTGGTTATAATCATGTTACCTACGGCAGGATATTGTGTAGAGAGAATGAAATGAGGTTATGCATGTCAAAAAAATAATTAAATAACCAGTAACTCTTAGCGATTATTATATTTTAAAAATAGCTACCACACTACTGAATTCAAAATTATACTAGTATACTAGTATACAAAATTATACTAGTTTCAAAATTAGAACCTCTAGTACTGGCAAGGAGTTTAAATCCTAACCCCAAATAAGGAGTAGCTTTTTTGACTCCTATTCTCAGGGCATAATCTGGCTTAAATAATATTCGGGAATAAAACATCACTGAAAACTGATTAATGTTACATATGTCTCCAAAGTTGGCAAGAGAGAAATAAGAATAAGTAGGGGGAAAGTTGCTTGTTTATTGGTAGGTAGTGAAAGCTTACTGCAAGTAACCATGAATTTTTTTCCATACTAAATTAGTGATTTGTATTCTGTTAATAAGCTCAAGACTAGCTCAAATTACAAAGTCCTCCTTAAAATGGAGTGACTCTTCTTTTTTTTTTTTAGTAATTACCTAAGTCATTATTGTCAGTGATTAGTTGCTCTATCCAGGTTACAATGACCCGTTGAAATCCCTCCTCTTCCGAGCAGGGATGAATTAATGAAGAACATGACAGTACAAGCTTTGCTCATTATGAAGTTGGGAGGACCAGAGATCAGGTGGTCATGATTCTTTATCCACATACACTGGTCTAGCTCATTTTTACTATTCCTCCTGGACAAATTTTACATGCATTTGGATGTGTGTGTGTGTGTGTATATATATATATATATATATATAAAATATATATATATATATTATATATATACATTATATTATATATATACACATTATATTATATATACATTATATATACATTTTATATATATACATTATATACATTATATATATACATTATATACATTATATACATAGTATACATTATATACATTATATATATACATTATATATATA